GGGCTGGAATCTTGGTTCCTCCACCTATTTGCTGTGCAAACTTGGCAAGTTACTTAATGTGCCTGAGAGAAATAATGAACAATGTATGTAAGTTATTGTTCTTTTTCCTTTGTTTAGATTCATCTCTAGTGTAGTTTACCATGATATGCCATTAATAGATCCAAGAGAATCTTCCGAAAGAATTTAAGCACATCTAGTGATTCTTATTTAAAACTTTATTTTTCAGGTGAGAAAACTGAGGTCAGAAAGATAAACTGATGGGCCCAAGCTAGAAGTGCAAGTATCCTGATGTTCAGGTTAGTGCTCTTTTCCTGGCCCATACCTCCAGACTTCTCTCCCTTACATCCTTACTTATATCCTCTTCTTTCTTTTCCAATTTGTGTATAGTTAATTGCCCAGCCTCATCCCCTTCCCTTCCACAGCCACTGTAAAACAGGAAAAGGAGACCCTTCCAGAGGTCACAGTGTTCCAAATAGAAAGCAAAACAAACAAAAATGCAAGATCCCTTACTTCATTTTAATCTTATTGAAATTTTTAATGAATAAGGAATAATTTTGTTTTTCCATTGAGCAAAGATAAGAAACCCTTCCAAAGATAAGTTCAGCCATAGCAGGTCTCAGAAAATTACTGGCAGGAAACACTATTGATACGGACAAAACCAGATCAAGTAAGTCCCTCCCATCATTTTGGGTATTTGAAAATAGCTTTTATTTTCGTGAAAACAATAACATAGTTATTCAAACAACAACAACAAAAATTATCCAAATCCCATAATCTACAGGTAACCATTTTTTAAAGTGTATGTTATATTCTTCCAGATATAAAGAATAAAAAACACATAAAGACATATAAATTCAATATTTCATAAACTGGATTTTATTATGTATATAGTTCTTTTCTCACTGAACAATATATCATGATTAACATCATTTTTTTAAAGATTTTATTTATTTGACAGAGAGAGAGATAGCGAGAGCAGGAACACAAGCAGGGGGAGTGGGAGGGGGAGAAGCAGGTTTCCTGCCGAGCAGGGAGCCCGATGTGGGGCTCGATCCCAGGACCCTGGGATCATGACCTGAGCCGAAGGCAGACACTTAATGACTGAACCACCCAGGCGCCCCGGGAATGCAATTCCTAATCATAGAACGAGACAGGACAAGTCAGCATTTATTTAGCATTGTATGTAGAATTTTTTAATAGGGCAAAATAAAAATGGGGACACAAAATGGAAACAAATAAGCAACAACCATACACACACACACACACACACACACACACACACACACACACACAAAACCACTCTCTAATACACTTAGTTTCCCTTTAAATACCCAAATGTTACAATGAGATTAGCAAATCATTTTATAATAATTTGATTAAATTCTGGAAGTTAAATTATATTCACTGATGTAGTGATTTTAAAATATGTCCACAAGTTCTTTGATGCTTCTTCCTTCAAACGGTGGGACTTAATTCCTCTCACCTTGAGTTTGGACTGTGTTTAGTGACTTGTTCTCCTGAATAGACTTGTGTGACTTCTTAGAGATTATAAAACATATGCCAAAAAATAAAACCTACACCAGTTTTTTTCTTCTTCTCTCTCTGGGACTGCTTACTGGGGAAAGATGGTTGTCAAGTCATAAGGACTTTCAGGCAACTCCATAGAGAGGCCCACATTATGAGTAATTAAGGCTTCCTGCCAACAGTCAGTAAGGAACCAAGGACTCTTGACAACAGCCATGTGAGTGAACTTGGAAGCAGATGCTCCAGTCCTAGTCAGGCCTTCGGATGACTGCTTCCCTCATCAACATCTTTATTGACTTTAGGAGAGATCCTGAGCCAGAACCACTCCATTAAGGTGCTCCCAAATTCCTGAACCACAGAAACTGTAAGATAATACATGTTTGTTGTTTTAAGCCATTAAATTTTGGGATAATTTGTCATGCAGCAAAGATAACTAATATAGCTGGGTATAATAGAGCCTAGCACAATGGCTGGCACATATGTAGGTGTTTAATGATTTGTTGTTTGAATGAACAAACAATTCAGTGAAGTAGAATATATATTTTTTCGCTTTAAAGGGTAGCATACAAGGCTGGTATTATCTTTGCTCCCTGACAGCTGTGTTATCTAAGGGTTTTCTGATGTGATCATAGAGAAATCAATTGTGAATCTTACTGAAATCTAAACATTGACAATCCTGGAGGAAACATATAGTGAATAGAGCAGTGGAACCCTTGAGACCTGTATAGTTCTCCCACTTTTATCACTGATTAGCTGAATGGCCCATGGCAAGTCATCTAAACCTTCTAAATCTCAATTTTCATATCTGTAAATTGTGGAAAATACTCCCAACCTGCCTCAAAAGGTGGTTAATCTGATTATATGTGACAGTGTATTTGAAAAGCATGGATGTTCTTTTAATTACATTAGGCTCATGAGATCCTATTTTATTTTTAAGCAATTAGGTATTAAATATTTTAGGTGTGTATACCATGAAGAGTTTTCTTTCAAGAGGTGATAACTTATTACTGATTTTACTGTGTACCTTTGTAAAATATTAGCATCATTCATAGTGAGCAGTTAAGATTTAAGAGTATGGCAGGATGGTAGGTTATTATATGTCAGATCTCATTTTATTAGCCTGTTGAAAATTTATTGCACTTTTAAAAGAATACGTAATTATGACTGCCTCCTTTTCCTTTCCATGAATTAATTTGTAATTGCGATTGGGTGTGTGCCCCTCTTTGTGGTAACAGTGGTAGTTAAGCATACTTAGTAATAAATATACATTTAACCAATAATTTGGTCTGAATCTAAGAGTTTATCCTAAAGCAAAATTGCATCCAACAGCAAGAAAATATGTAGTGGGTGAATTATCCAAATTCCCTGGTTTTATTGTATTGTTCTTTCTTGCTTTCTGGTATCCAGTGTGACTCCACATCAGTTTTAACTACTGGCTTAACTAAACATCAGGTTATTTGTAGTTGTAGATGACCCCCGCTACCTGCCATCTATACTAACTTGAATAGGAAGGAGAAGAATTCTAGAAAAAAAGGATGGAGCTTTCTTTTCTGGTGATGGTGTGCTTTTCAAGCAGGTCTTCTCATTTCATAAATACCTGCCAAGATAAAGTACTTTCATCCTACAGAAACTAAAAGAGCATTTCCAAACAGTTTTTATTCCTTACAGCTGCATCTTCACAAAATCTACCAAGATTTTGAAACAGTTGGAAAGGCTAATGATATTTTCTAAGTTGATCGACGTGTAAAGGGGATAAAGGTAGAGAACGGAGGAGAGGAGAAGATAAGGAAAAAAAAAAAAGAAAGTTTAGGAAATACTTTTAACCTCAAGGGAAGAGGACTCAGCATGACTCACAACATATTAGCTTGAAAGCAGAGACTGCCACGGTTGCACTGAGGAACTTGTGTCTTCTAGAGAAAGATTCTCAAATTATGAGATTGGGTTCTCTGGGATTACTTACCCTGAGTTTCTCTAGTTTCCTAGAATATGAATCAAAATATTCCTTAATTGTTTTCCCTTGTGATTCAACAAGAGCAGAAAGCGTTTGTTTTAAATGGAAAGGTGAAGCTGGCTTTAGTTTAAAATCCCTAAGCAGTAAATTATAAATGTGTATGCTACTTATTTTATTGTAAAGAACTAACTGACTTACAAATCTTAGCTACATATTGTGACATCTTTTTTTTTCTCATTTCTTTTAACTTGTATTTAAATGTATGCTGTTTCCCTGGTTCTGAAGGGAGCAAACTGACCTTGTTCAGAGATTACTGTGATGTCTGTTCTAATCTATCTGGGGGTGCTATAGATAATTGTGTCTCTCAAAATTCATATGTTCAGGCCTTAACCCCTAGTGTAATTGTAGGGCTTATAAAGAGGTGGTATAAGTTAAATGAGGTCATAAGGATAAGACCCTCATCTAGTAGAGCTAGTGCCCTTGTAAGAATAGACACCAAAGCTCATTCTCTCTATCATGTGAGGACACAGTGAGAAGGCAGCTGTCTGCAAACCAGGAAGAATCCTCATCTGAAATTGAATTGGTGAGTTCCCTGATTTTGGACTTTCTATCCTCCAAAACTGTGAGAAATAAATTTCTTGTGTCTAAGTCATCCAGGCTGTGATATTTTGATATGGCATCCCAAGCAGACTAATATGGGGCAAGCTCTGATGCAAGACGTTCTGCCCTATTTTGCCTAATTCAGAACTCAGGTGAAAAAAGCTTGAAAATGCTGAAAGCTGAATTAATAATCCTCAAACACCTGAGGCAAAGATTATGGCTGAAACATACAACAGACTGCCTAAGACAAAAACTGGGTAAAGTTTCTTTGGGAAATTAAGACATTCAATAGCAACTATGTAAATGGGGGAATTTAGAAAGCCATGTGCATGCTCAGGGCAAGACACATACTCAAACACTCAAGAAGACCCTATGCTTTCACCTTGGCCTCATCCCTTGGTACATTGAAAGCTGGCAAGTTGAAGGAGGGCCCTGGCTTAGAGCCAATTTGCAAAGACTGAGTTCCTAGCATTCAAGGATATTTCTATCACAATCCTTGCTGAACACAAGCTAAGGAGCAGAGACTGCAGTGACCACATGTGACAAGGAATACAGTCTTTGCAATAATAGTTTGGGAAGGACATTAAATCAACTGATTGCTACAGCCTTCAACAACCAAAAAATAGTGAACCCTGTGAAAGAGGAAGAATTTGACTTCTAGTTACAACATTATAATAGTCAAATGTCAGTTCTAACCAAAAAAAAAAAAAAAAAATTACAAGGCATACAAAGAAACAAGAAAGAATGGCTCATTCAAAGGAATGAAACTGTCTGTGAGGAAATCCAAACGTTGAAGTTACTAGACAGATCTTAAAATAATGGTCTTAAATATGCTCAAAGAACCAATAGAAAAAAATGGATAAAGAACTAAAGGAAATGAGGAAAATGATGTATGAACAAAATTAGAATATCAATAAAGAAATAGAATTATAAAAAGGAACAAAAGAAAAATTCTGGGACTGAAGAGTATGATAGCAACAGCTTGGACAAACTATTGGCTCTAAGACAAAACAGCTTTTTTGCAGAAGATTCTGGCCTGGTCCCCCATCAGGAGATGATGTCCCTGAACTCAAATCATAAAATTTGTCATGGTTTGGTGTGGTTTAGTGGAAAGATCTTGTGCTTTGGATTAAGATCGATGTGCTTGAATTATAGCTATAAATAAAAATAACAATGACTAGCATTACTAATTGAAGTGGAGAAAGCTCTAAGAAGGAAGAACTCAGAGTCTAGGACTTACATAACTTCTGCTGCTCACTTACTGCTATATTAGGCACTATATTAAACACTTTCCTCACTGATTTATTTTCATCTTCACACAGACTCTCTGAGGAGGCATTACCAACTAATAAACTAGTCTCAGAGATTAAGCCCTTGTAAATAGTAAAAGGGATTCTACTCCGGTTTTTGTTTGTTTGTTTGTTTTGCTTTATTAAGGTATAATTGATATGCAATAAGGTGTATGTAAGATATATGATGATGTTTTGACATATGTAAACATAACCACAATCAAGATATTGAACATATCTATTGCTCCCCCTCCAAAGTTTTCTCCTGCTGCTTCCCACCCCTCCCCATATCTAAACAAACACTGACCTGATTTCTGTCACTATAGATCAGTTTGCATTTGTAGAGTTCTGTAAATGGAATCACACAATGTGTGCTCTTTTTTTATCTGGCTTTTTTTCACTCAGTATAATTACGTTGAAATTAAACCATGTTGTTTTGTTCAATAGTTTATTCCTTGATTTTGCTGAGTAGTGTTTCATTATAGGATATACCACAATTTGTGTATCCATTCACTCACTAATGGACAATTAACCCAATTGTTTCTGACCCTAAACCCATGCTACACTCTTTCCCCAGCTCCTTCACATACTGTGTGGTCTTGGGAAACCTAACTATTCTCTCTGAGCCTCAGTTTTTCTCATTGTAAAAATGGCGATAATATTTTTCCCAACAGGATCGTTATTAGTGAGATAACATGTGAAAGCACCTAGTACTGTGCCTGGCATACAGTTGGTGCTTATAAATATTCATCTTCTCCAGGAAAGATATATCTCCGGGAAGGAAAAGAGAAAAAATATAGCAGTATATGCCTTTCTTGAGTCTTTCTTCCTGCAGTTTCATCTCATTCTTGAAGATTGCTCGATTTAATTTCTCCTGCTTACATCTTGTCTGCACCTCATGGAGATGATGTTTCCCTTTTCTCTCTAATGCAAATATGGACACAATTCTTTTTCTTATTCTCATACCATGGCTGAAATAGAATGATGTTTTCACAAAAATTAAGGGATAAATTAAAAGGGTATAAGTATATAAAACCAAACTGTAGAAATAGTCAAGGGTTCCAGAACATGCTTCTCTCCCAAATAATCCCAGCAAAGTCAGTCAAAGAGCTTTTCTTTTTTAACTTTCAATTATTATTTTGACATAATTTCAGATTTTACAGGAGAGTTGCAGGAGTAGTATAAAGAGTCTTGATATAACCTTTTCCTTGATTATTGCTTTACAACTTTAACAACTCATTTAAACTATTCTCCTATTCTCTTGCCTCCAAAATTTAGGCTAATAGTGGCTTTGGCAGAAAATACTCAATTAACTCAGTATGATAACAAATACAACAATAACAATTCCAAAAGTTGTTTACTGAATACCTGATAAGTGCCAGACTACCTGCTGGATGTTTAACTGGGACTGTCTCCTACTCTAAATAACCCTGGAAGGCCAGTACTATTATTACACCCACGTAACAGATAAGGATATTGAGACAGAGAGGGCTTTGGGATATTGCCCAAGGTCACACAGATAGAAATCTTATAGTACTAAATGTAAATGGAACCAAATAGATTCCTGGACCTGTGATTTTAATGCTAATTTTAAAAATCAAAGGTCAGCAAACTACAGCCTTTGGGCTAAATCCAGCCCACAAAAGAGCTTTATTTAGTCCCAGACCTACTTGTACAAGAATCACATCCTCTCACACAAATGGGTGGGCACAACCTGGTCTGAGCTACTTCCTAACCTGTCTCCTGTTTTTCAGTTATCTGACCATTTTCTCTCACTGACTTCTGTGATTTCTTGTCTTGCTCACAGAAAAATACAAGCCTGACTCTTGAAATTCTAACTAACTAGACACCATTTTGTCCTTCTTTTGAGGGTCTCAGGGTCTAAAGGAAATAAATTGACAGGCAAGGTTAATCTTCACCACGCTTGGGCATTCTTGGGGCATTTTATGATGACACAACCCACACATCTTAAATAATAAAAATGAAACTGTACATGTGATGAAAGGCAGCAAACCTGAGGTGGACGCTGTGATGCATTGTTCTCATCCCCTCTTCAGGACTGAAAGATTTATTCCCCTAGCTGTTGGGAGTGCTGGCAGCAGACAACCCACAGCTGCCGGCCCTCTCAGGGAACTGCCTCAGGTGCAAACACCTGCCTTAACTCAAGGTCATGCCTCCTTTCAGGGCACCCACATGCAAGGACTGATCAACATAAGGATATAGAAACTCAGCCTCCCAGCTTCAGTCTGTGGTATTCTCTAGAGCCATTCCAACATCGGAGTTCCCCATAGAAAGACTACACATAGCCCAACTTCTTCCCCTACAATCCTGCTTCCTACTCTTCTCTTTCACAGGCATCGACCTCAAAAGCACTTCCTAATAATTTTTATGCGTGCTGATCTCTGTTTCAGAGTCTGTTTTCTGGGGAGTTCCACCAATGACAACACCTAAAGCAAGAGGAGAGCTGTTTCTCAACACCCTCGAAATCCAAGCTCTTTTCTAAGTATCTAAGGTCAATAGGTGATATAATTTTGAGTGACTTCTGCCTACCTAGAGCTAGTTCTTCATGCATTGACACCAGTGTTCCACATGAGAAATGAGGAGAAATAGAACCAGTGAACCCGTCAGTCTTGTTCTCTGTCCACAAATGAGCCCACAGTCATTTTACCATGCTGTTCAATGTTGATTTAGATAATTACTAGTTTTTAAAATGTTCACATTTAATCAGAGGTAGAATTTTGAAATACTTCCAGTGTGTCAGCCCTCTTTATAACCATATTTGCCTTAGGGTAAGCCTCAATAAAATATTCACTTGCACACATATTTTAAGGATACTTGAAGGATCACATGCTAGAGAGTTTTCCTGTTTTTTCTGGTATATTTTTAAAATGTTTCCATGGTGATACAACCTGATAGAGTAGTAGATATTGGACAAAATGTGTTGTAATCCTTGCTCTGTCACTCACTAGCTGTTTTTTGAGCCTCATGATTCTTACCTATAAAGGAGAGGTAATGATGCCCATCTTTTAGAGTGATTGTGTTGGTTAAATGAGAGGATATTTGCAAAGGGCCTACCACATTCAAGTATTCGATAAATCGTAGCTATTTATTTTTACTTAATGTTTTAAAATTTAAATTCAATTAGCCAAGGTATAGTACATCATTAGTTTTTGATATAATGTTCAATGATTCATTAGTTGAATATAACACCCAGTGCTAACTGGGTGATGGGAATTAAAGAGGGCACATGATATAATGGTAGCTATTTTTATAAACAAGTATAATAATGACATAAGTGGATTGGCTAAAAGTTTTAAAAGGAAGTACCTTTTCAACAAGTATTATGATTTATTGCCACATTTTTAGTCCCCTAGTAGTAAATATTAATTGATAAAGATATTCACTATAAAGATTTCTATACTGAAATGTGCATAAATGATCATCAAAGAGGCAATTATCTCTAAAGAAAAGGAGTTGGAATAAGTGATTTCTAAGTCTTTTTTCAGTGCTTAGAGCCTCAAGAGTCTATGGATTAGGATGACCCTCTAAAAATAGAAGCAACTGTTTCTGGGATTTGAAGCTCTCTCTATTGAGGGTGGCTGCATGTCAACAGAAATTTAGTTCTAAGTCTCCTTGACTAATATTCTTTTTTGCAAATAATTCCAAGACTCTCAATCTGTTATACCATTGTGTGTACAAAATACCTGTCAGTATAGAAGCAGTCAGTAGTGATTACATTATTATAAAAGTGGAAGTACCTTTCCAATATTTATCCCTAGCCTAACAGTTGCTTAAACTCTATTTAAATTGATTATATATTATGGCTCATTATTTTTCTCTCAATACTAATTCCTTCTGCTGATTAGTGTTTATATATAACACAGAGGCAGTTCTGCCCAATCAGAGAGGAAGAGTTTAGCTTTCCCTCTGTCATCTGTTAACAGGGTTCCCTCAGGGACTAGTTTCTCTGATACAGTTCCTGCAGCTACCTTACATCTTTGGACACGTCCTAGGGCATGTGGCCCCCACCCCCCATTTCATCTTTTGTCCCTGGAATGAGTTGTATACATATATCCATCCTCTAGAACCAATTTACAGTCAAGCCTTAGCTCTACTTTGAGTTGGACTTGTCTTCTCTTACTGAGTGGATCCAGGCTAGCAGACACATAAGATGATCTTTATTTTCCTCCCTTTCTAAATATCTATCCCTACATCCATCTTTTTACTTTCTGCCTAAGAAGAGGAGTCTGACCTGCTTTCTCAGAGGAAATAGGGTAGCATTTTGTCTCTCTCCCTACCCTACTTCACCCTACTTCAACCATCTAATATAAGTACTAGAACATTGCCAATCAAGATAACATTACCTACCCCCTTATACATTGGACTTTTGTCAAGGATATAAATAATGGAAGAAAATGGCAGCGGCCAGGGGTTGAGGGTAGAAGGTAGAGGCTGAGTAGGGAGGTAACACTTTATAGTTGAAGCCTGACAGATCTAAATGAAAGGTGAAGGTGGTATACAGAAACAATAGAAACTTCCAGAGTTCAGGAGAATCAGAACCCCAGTTCTATAAGGAGAGTAGAATTTGTGCTCAATATAAAATGTGGAAAGACAATGAGGGCAGGGTCAGAGGCAAGATAGTGATAGAGTAGGGGACCGCACTTCATCTAGTCCCATGAATGTAGCTAGATAACTTATCAAACCATTCTAAATACCCAGGAATTCAGCCTGAGCTGTAAGAAAAAAATATCTGGAACTTTAGAAGTAAAAAAGTGACTGCTTTTTGCAATGTAGGAATTGCGGAGACATGAATTTGAGGGGAGATATTGGAAGATAAACAGTTGGGGGGAGGGAGCCTCCATAAGCTGGCTACCAGAAAAGGGTATAACCCCAGAAGGCAAAATTGGAACCATTGGAAATCTCCACTGAGAGACATCCCTGTCTGAAAGGGGCTCAGGGGATGAAAAGGGCAGAATTCTAGGTGGGTCAGTGTGGTCTCAGGATCCCAGGAGTAACAGAACTAACTGGGGTGCCTGAGCCGGTAAAGTGCCCAAGCAATGGAGCAGGGAAACTGGTTATGGTTAATGAGCCCAGGTGGTGACTCTCCGTTAGGGTCACCATAAAGCACCAGCAAGGCCCATCAGGTGACTGCTCTCCACCTGGAAACACTGAAAGTACTGGAACACGTGGACCATCTGCTATTGCCCAGGAGGGGTGGAATGGGTGTGCCACAACCAGGCAACAGCTCTCAGGGTGGCGACCCCATAAAGGGCAGTACGGTGACACTCAGCTGTACTCTGGGAGCAGCTGAGTGGGTATGCACACAAGCCCGCAACTTCTCTCAGGCCCAAGGCACTACAAAGGGCAGTAACGCAGGACCCTTGGGCTCCCCCCAGGAGAATTGCTGTGGGCATGCACTACAGGAATCTGCAGAGTTTGGCACACAGGAAAGTGAAGACTGTTTGTCCCAGAGGGTTTAGTGAAGAGAGGGGATCAAGATCTTTCCACTCTGGGGCTAGAGATTGGGGCACGACCATTTTTATTTTGATCCTCTAAAGCGCAGAAAGCCTTCAGGGAACAAAAGCCACACAGAGCCCAGCCCCCTGGCAAGGGGTGGTGCAAGTCTGCCAAGGCAAAGACACCTGAGAAGCAGCACAGCAGGCCCCTACCACAGAAGACCAACTGGAAGAACAGGTGCACAACTAGTTTATGGATACCACAAGACTGTAAAACTCCGGAGCCAGGGGAAAATATTATATAGAACTCGAGGTTTTTTTTCTCGATTCATTTATCTTTCAGTCTAAAATTTCCCATTTCTTTTTTTCCTTTTTTTTCCTTTTCAACTAGTTTCTTATTTTATGAACTCTTTGTTTTTAAATCACTTTTTTACTTTTATTTTTTACATCTACATTTTATAGACATATGCTTCATTTTTGGCCTTTTTTCTCTATTCAATTTTATTTTTGTATATTTATAAGCTTTGCTTTCTTTGCAACTTTGGGAGTTAGTGTCTGTAACACACAGATCAAAATTCACTCAGGAACAAGTGGATCACCCTGCTTTGTTGATCCTGTGAGGTTATATTCTCTCTAACCCCCCCCTTTTGTTTTGTTTTTGTTTGCTTTTCTGTTTCGGTTTCTGACCACTTCATATTTGTCCAGTGTTTATTTTGCTTGGGTTGTGGTTGATATTTTTGATTCTGCTCACTTTCTCATCCATTCTTCTCTGGGCAAAATGACTAGAAGGTGGAGTTCACAACAAAAGAAAAACCAGATGTAACATTCTCTGCCACAGATCTAATCAATATAGATATAAGTAAGATGTCAGATATGGAATTCAGGATAACAATTATAAAGTTAATTGCTGGGCTTGAAAAAAGCATAAAAGACACTAGAGAATCTCTTAGTACAGAAATGAGATCTAATTAGGCTGAACTTAAAAATGCTATAACTGAGATGCAATCTAAATTGGATGCTCTAACAGCTAGGCTGAATGAGGCAGAAGAGAGAATAAGTGATCTAGAAGACATGCTGATAGAAAGGAAGGAAGTTGAGGAAAAGAGAGAAAAACAACTAATAGCCCATGAAGAAAGGCTTCGAGAAATTAATGATGCCATGAAACGTACCAGTGTCAGAATTATTGTGGTGCCTGAGGGTGAAAAGAGAGAGGGAGGTCCAGAAGGTATATTTGAGCAAATCATAGCTGAGAACTTCCCTAATCTGGGGAAGGAAATAAGCATTCATGTCCAAGAGACAGAGAGGACCCCTCCCAAAATCAATAAAAATAGATCAACACCCTGACATAAAATAGTGAAGCTTGCAAATTTTAAATTTTTTTTTTGGATTTATTTATTGTGTGAGAGAGAGTACACAAGAAGGGGTAGGGTCAGAGGGAGAAGCAGACTCCCCACCGAGCAGGGAGCCTGATGCGGGACTTGATCCGGGGACTCCAGGATCATGACCTGAGCCGAAGGCAGTCGCTTAACTAACTGAGCCACCCAGGCGCCCCTGAAGCTTGCAAATTTTAAAGAAAAAGAGAAAATCCCTGAAAGCAGCTCAAGACAAGAGGCTCCTTACCTACTGAGGGAGGAACATCAGGCTAACATCAGACTTAGTCACAGAAACCTGGAAGGCCAGAAAGGGCTGGCATGATACATTCAGGGAACTAAATGAGAAGAAGATGCAGCCAAGAATACTTTATCCAGGAAGGCTTCCCATTCAGAATGGAAGGAGAGATAAAGAGCTTCCAGCAGAAAGAATATGTGACCACCAAGCCAGCCCTGCAAGAAATATTAAGCGGAATACTGTAAGCAAAGAGAGACTCCAAAAGTAACATAGACAAGAAAGAAATCAAGACAACCTACAGAAACAGGGACTTCACATTTACATGCAATAATGGAACTAAATTAATATCTTTCAGTAGTTACTCTGAATGTAAATGGGCTAAATGCCCCAATCAAAAGGCACAGGGTATCAGATTGGATAAAAAGTAAGACCCATCCATATGCTGTCTACAAGAGACTCATTTTAGACCTAAAAACACTTCCAGACTGAAAGTGAGGGGGAAGAGATCCATTTACCATGCTAATGGACCTCTAAAGAAAGCTGGGGTAGCAATCCTCATATCAGATAAATTAGGTTTTAAACCAGACAGTAGTAAGAGATGAAGAGGGACACTATATTATACTTAAAGGGTTTATCTAACAAGAAGATCTAACAATTGTAA